CTTAAAACATGGGGTAAGTCTCTGCAGTTTAGCATATGCTAATGAGGCCAATTTTTGCTCTCGTAAGCGACCACCTCCCTTAAACGACCACCTAGGCTTGACGTTTTGGGTAGTCGCTTACGGGAGGTTCGACTGTATAAGCCCGACCATTTAAAAAAAGCCGAATGCTTTTCCGAGAATAAACTCGCCAGTAACACCTTTTAAACAAATACGCCCTTGGAATACTTTGTGAATTTTAAGGTATTTGTTTTAATAACGTGCAAAAAAATCGATGTGAATGTTAAACGAAACAAACCTCCGTTTTCAGCAGTGTGAATAGGGCCTGAACAGAAGCACGAAAAAAGGGTAATTTCAAAGGACATACATTAGGAGCAGGTTAAAAAAACATAAATAAACAAACAACTTACGTCATCATACTGGAAATTCGCAACCCCATTCTGCGCCGCGTCGCGTCTTCTAAACTGATCTGTAAAACAATATTAAAAACAATTAGCAAAGGATTCATAGTGAGGGTAGCAAGCTCTCCTGCATTTAGGTGCGCAGGAGGAGAGACTGAAAAAAAGGAGGGGAGTTGGGAAGAACCTGGTTTCTTGCCCTCCCTTCCCCCCCTTCCTCCTATGTATTTGCCCTCGCCCCAATTTTCGCGCGGCCAAAATGCGAAAACTCAAATTCCTTGAGCTGTGAATACTACACAGGCTAGTCAGGATATGGATTTACGATGACTATGATTTCAGTCTATAGTTTTGTTCGCAGCCTCAAGAGACAATAAAAGGTTTGTGAACAGATTAATACACTGAAATAGAGGAATCTTTATTCACAAAATTTGCCTCATTAACATTAGCAATTCAGTTTCTGATCTAGCTACAAGTATAGCAGTTCTGAATGTTGAAAGGGCATGGCACAACTGACCCAAGGAATTTGAGACCGATCAGGATTTTGGACGAAGCGGGTTTCAAAGCGCAAAATTTAGCAAAGGATGTAAGGGCTCATTAGCGCTTTTGCCACACAGAAATTGGGCAGTTTCTGAAAGCGAATATCATCTTATATATTTAATTCAAAGAGCTAAAACTTTCACCATGTTATAAGTTTCACAAGCTCTTTAACTGTTCTGGGTCACTTCATTTCTTACATGATGCCTTCTAAACGCAAAGTCGTATACTAATGAAGCAAAATGTAACAATAAGGTCGGCAACGATCGCCGTATAAATAGGAATCTCGCTTCAAAGACAAACCGGGTAAACTTGTGAAGTACACTTTACAGGAATAAGAATGAGGAAGTGCTTATTGCAAGGGGCGCTAATTGAAAGGAAGGCGCAAAATAATTACGGTAGATGAGAGAAGGAAACCCGCTGTACATACCAGTCAACGCTCGCAGCCTCACACAGCAAGCTACGAAATCGTCGAAAGTGATTCGGTGATCAGTCGAGTACCGCTTCACAATGACATTCAACGCGTTTGGACTTAATCTATAACCTGCAAAACAAGATAAACACGTAAATGCACTTACTTAAGATCGACTACATTCAAGACATTGGTTTTAAATAATGCCTTGATCAGGGGGTGGGGGGATGGGATTCCCGCATGAAAAGGTTGGGGACGCTCCACAGAAAATTTGAATTGTGCCCCAAAAGGAGACCCATCTACGCGTGGCTCCAGCTTTATTTGACCCCTAAAGGATACCATTTTATTACTATTTCTTTGAGTGCACACTAAAGGATACCTTGTCCAGCTAAAAATACACGTATTGGTGTTTTTGCTTGAACAGCCTAAATGAGACCAGAATCCTTGACTTACATCCTCAAGCAAGACGATCATCTTACGACGACAAAAGTATGTTAGGAAAGGGAGCCACAGACATTTCAAAGTTATCTGACTCCCCTCCAGTAGCCTCACCTCCGTTGTCCTCGCCCAAGTCTTACAGCGTAGGTCTTACTAAGGACTTACTGAGTCCCTTCTTTAATTTGAGCTTTGAATATTCCACGAGTGCGCGTTGGATATGAGATGGTAGATAGCTATATATAGATGGCTATAATCATCTCATAATCAACAAGCGCAAATGGAATAATTGTTTTATTAAAAACACCCCCAAAATATAGAGAACTAAACTAAAAATAAAAATCACATATTTGTTGAACATATCATGTGCCATGCATATGTCGCTTTGATTGTGCTGGCCACTGTATTTTCTATAGCAGGGTGTAAAACAGTTACGCAACACTCTCTTGTGGTATACCGTGGAAATACCCTGCTTGTCACTTGTATTATGTGTTGGTACACCAAGAATGTATAAGTGACTTGTGGGATATCCCATGATATACCAATTGAAAGTGTTGCATAACTAGTATGTGCATGAATTCATGCATGTGAACAAACAAAACTCTTACCAAAGGCAGAGAGGGCCGCATGTAACTCATGTGGTTCAACTGTACCTGACCTGTCTGCATCATACTGCATGAAGGTAGTCTGTGA